GTATGGAATTGCAAGAGTTTTTTCACTTTGTTTTTCACTTAAGAATCTATGTGTTATTATTAATTGCCTTAATTTTATTTTAGTTGGTATATGTCTTAATAATATTATTTTAATATTCTGTAATAAGCTCAATAATTAACTTCGTACAAATTAATTTTTCAAGGTAAATATTTCGGACACATTTAAGTGTTATGTAATAAACGCCATTACACACATGGCGCAGTTATATTATTTATTGGAGGGAATTCTGAGCAAAAAATAATTTTTATTACTGACTTTTATGGTCGTAAATGGTTTTCTTTCTGCTTATTTCTTAAAAATTCAAAGTAATTAACGATAATAATTTCAAAACTTTTGCTAGTTGTCACTAATGGTGACCATAAAACATCTTGTTGTAACCGTTTCCAAAATAGAAAAAAAAAAATGAAATATATAGTAGTTGACTTTTGATCTTAACTGAAGAAATTCATGTATAATATTAGTCGAAACGAGAACGTGTAATTTTATCTAAATGTTAAATACCCTGAAGATGATTGTACGTAATTTCCCTTTACTATAATGTCTCTCTCTAATTAATAATAGATTATGTAAAAACTACGGTATATAATTACATGTGTTATGCACTTTCAAGAATTAATTAAGAATACAATAATATACGTATGTACAACAATGTGTTGTTATCATTGGGCTAATTTACAATTAAGTATTAAACGTAAAGATAAATAATAATTGGTTTGTGTGTAGAAATCGAAAGAAATAATAATTATAATTATGATTACGTAACAGGTATAATACAAAGTTATATCTACCAAGTGGTTTTTAGATAACCAGTAAAATTAAGATCCAAATTTTATTTGTTCGAAATTTCTACTCTAAACGAAATTCTCATTGACGATATGGCTCAATCTGATTAGAAAGTCGAGTTACATCTGCTTTACGAATAAATACTATAAGTACAACACTTGAAATTCATGTAGTGAAAGCTAGTTTAGAGTGTATCGAAGTGGGCTGAAATTCCTAACTACCTATAAGTATAAAATTAGTCTGCTAGCCACAAATTTACGTATACTAGCTTTTTAAATCATGTCTAAAAGTTTTACACTAGTATAAGAATGAGGTAAAGTTTGTTGTTTTGAGAAAATTTTTGGAAAATGGAAATGGAATTTTCAAAATTTTACTTTTAGAAAATCTATAGGTTGACGAAAGTCTTAAGTTAGGTTGTAATGATAATAAAGGAAGGAAACATTAAATATTTTATAAATAATAGCGATTAAGTAATAATTGTGTACCAATTAAAAATTTATGTTGGACGCATCAGTAAACAGCTTGTTGGATTGTATTATGACAAAAGGTAGAGAAGCTGTTTTTCTTTTTAGTTTGCACAATGCGTAATGTTAAAGTACAAACATAAGAAGCACAAGGACTATTGCACTTGATGATAAAATTGTGAGAACGTACGCTGAATAACATTAACTTCTAATGGGAAAAATCACTTTGTTTTGAGAACATTTCACAAACCTTTGTACACTTGCTTTTTAGATGTGTGTGTGTGTGTGTTCTCAAGACAAACGATTAGAATTCAAAGAAAGGAAAGGTTTTGCGAAAGATTGCGAGACAACACGATTATTCTGAATTGACAAACGATATTTTCAAAATTTCAGAGAGACATGGGAAAGGAGAAACTTGAAATTCAACGACAACGGCACGGTGTCATTCAACATGGAAAAAATTTACGTTTTCGACGAATCCCAATCGGTTGGGTCAGACGAGGACGTGGTGGTTGTCCCAAACGTCCCAATGTTGGTACGTCAAACGTCAAAAAATAATGTAACATAAGTACTGACAGACATTTTTGCCTATTCTTTCTAGAGTGCTACATCACAATCAAAACATGCGGCTCGCTTTTTACGTCTGGCCATGGCTAGTATAATGGACATACTAAAACTAAAACCATTCGTCGAAGTTTCTGTCGGCCAACTGCTCTGGGGGTACGAAGATCCACTTTTGAAACTTGCCAAAGACGTTGTACCGAAAGAACAAAAGCTACCCTACGAAGAGTTCGGGTTAATGTACAATGTACGTAGAAATTTAGTGGTTTTATTCGTCACAGGCTGGACAGGAGAAACTCTTTCCCATCCTGGGTCATTTATTTTCTTAAATCAATAAAAAATTTGGTTTCAGAAAAATGGTACTTCCCCTGACAGGGTGACCGTCTTCACTGGGGCAAACGATATAACAAAGTATGGCCTCATAGACAAATACAATGGGAAGTCTCATCTGCCGCATTGGCTAAGTGACAAATGTAACACGCTGTTGGGATCGGACGGTTCTATTTTTCCCCCGTCGATAACCAAAAACACCACCCTCAAAATATACGACAAGGATTTGTGTAGATTATTACCCCTTGTGTAAGTTCTCAACTTTTTTATTGCCCAAAAAAGAACCAAATGGATTCAACCATATTTTTTTTGGCATTTCCAGTTACGAAAAATCGGTTATGGTAAACGAGGTTGAAGCATACAGATTCACCCCTCCAGTTGACGTTTTCGCACCACCTGAACAGAACCCGGATAATCAATGTTTCTGCCCCCATGGGCCGCCCTGTGCTCCAAACGGTCTCTTCAACGTGTCTCTTTGTCAATTTGGTGAGTCTTTATCAGAAAATTTGTGAAGACTGCACCTACATATGTGCTACGAATCGAAAATGTTTTGGTTTGTTTCAGATTCTCCAGTCATGCTTTCCTTCCCGCATTTCTACCTAGCAGACGACAGTCTTAGGACTGCAGTAGAAGGAATTTCACCACCAGATAAGGAAAAGCATCAGCTTTACGTTGACGTCAATCCCGTAAGTTATCAAAATTTGTTGTATTTCGGTTGAGTTCAAAATTTCTTTTCTGCTTTTAGATTATCGGTACTTCTATGTCTGCCAGGGCCAGGATACAGATCAATTTGGCGGTATCCCAGGTCGTGGACATCAAACAGGTGGCCACATTCCCCGACATCGTCTTTCCAATCATGTGGTTCGAAGAGGTACCTTTTGTTTCTTTTTATATCTTTCCTTTGTTTTATTTTTCCTTCCTTCTACTGACGTTTGTTTTGTATTACTTCAGTTTCGTTTTGCCTTTGTTTGCAGCATTTGTTTTTGTTTTGTTTTTACAGTCAATTGATGGTCTTCCTCCAGAAGTGACAAATTTGATGCAATTGGCAGCGAATGTCCCGCCAGTAGCCCGTGCATGCATTACTGGTATCCTAGTCATTATCGGATGCGTGATGCTCTTCCTTGCCGTGTGGAGATTGGTCAGGGGTGCCAACAGGCTCAGTTCCTTGCATCTTTCCACAGGTCACCATGGCACAGTTCCACAGACCACTAAAGATATGCCAATGGGCAACGTGCCTAGACGTTAGGATTAAATCACAAGAGCCAACAACAAATAAACATAATCCTCCTCTACTTCCTCTTCTTTTACCTTTTTATCTTCTTTTTATTAGGTATATGCTTTAGTCAAATGTACGTAATATTGTTTTTGTAGTCGAGACTTTTTGACGTTTTTTTCTTCACAACAGTACAATTTTTTGTTTTTCTAAAATTGTGCATACACTTTTGTACTACGAACATCCCTAATTTTTTATTGTTCAATGTTTTTTTTTTGTTATGTAATTGTAAAATATATTTTATATTCGTCCTTATTTGAGTAATGACAATGATATAATACAGTACGTTGTACATTCCTACATTTACATACAAATGACAATATATATATTTATATAAATATTAATAATACATTACGTTAAAGTACCTGTGAATTTTGTGGCAAAGAAGATAATTGAAATCGACAAAGTTTTACTTTTACTTCAATTTTTGGAAGGTGTGGTAATAAACAAAAGAAATCCATCCATTTAATTTTAAGATATACATGGCGTTCCATAAGAGTTTTCAGAAAAATATATCTACCAAACTATTCTACGGGAAATTTTAAGCAGCTTTTTCCTTTACAGTTTTCCGATCCATTTGGAAATCAACAAGTTATTAGCGATCAAAGGTTACAAAAATCGACGCATAAAAGTAAGTTTTGTTTTAAGAAGTAAACCTGGCTGATATTTCAATTGTTAATAGCGATTCGCTTGTTTTTATTTGCACTAAATAAAGCCTGCTTCAATTATTGGTACAGTATTAAAATTTTCAATTGTTATTAACTCATTAATTGCAAGTTATATCGAACAATTTTAAAGGAAAATTTGTTTCAAAATTTCACGAAGAAAGGAATGATGTACTTTTTCCCTTTTGAAACATTTCTGGAACGCCGTGTATGACACTATTACTTAAACAGACGCTGGTACTTAATATGTAATATCGTTTTTTATATAAATTATTATTCTATTTCCTATTAATATTCCTCAAACAAACTGAAAAACCTGAACAATTGCTCACGTCATTTCGAGTTGGATACTTTTTAGGTATATCTAATCTAATAGTAGGTACGAGGCTACGTAAATAGCTCAAAAATTTTGTTCAATACTGTACACTGTGCCAAACAGAGTAATTTTCACCAAAAACGTAAAATCCAATTTTTGTAAAAGCAGTTTTTAATTGTTATTTGGTGTTTATATGGTGAAATAAAACGCATTTTTTTATAACATTCCAAAATTTTTGGCAATAGTTTGTAACATTCAGAAAACCTGTAAATATTTGTAGGTTGTATAAAGAGTTTTAGACTTTTAGAATAGAATTCAGTAGACAAACTTTATCATACTTTAACTCCANAACATAACAAAATCCTGGACGTCGTCAATTTGCATAATAAAGAAAAAAAAATACATATAAAGTTCTGATTCTTTATTGAGAGGTCAAGTCGAAAACAATCTATCTCACGTTGTTGTTTACGCATTTAGAATATCATCCATAAGGTTAAATGTCCATTAAAATGCTCTTTTGAAGCTATTAAATTGACATTTAGTGTTTTGTTAATCAAGGATATTGTTAATTAACGGAGAAATACCTTACCAAAACATGTTTTACAAATACAAATAATTTTAAACAAACTTGAAAATGGCCCCAAGTCAATTTAAGAATCCTTAACGTTAATGGCTGATATTAATTCTTTTTAAAACATTTTTAATTAGCTAGCCACCTCAAAATAGAAATAATTAATTACATTAGAGGATGTGGTAAAAATTTTACGTTTCTTCATGTGTAATCTTGCGATATGCTATGCGTATTCGTAGCTACGTGCTATGACTAAAAAGAAAGTTATCAATACATTATTGTTACGATTCAAAGCATTTTCTGTCTATTATATACTTATAAACATATAATTTTCGGTTCCACACTGTTAACAATTTAAATAAGGCGTAGGGAAGTAGCTGTTTATAGTGAGTAGTTCTTTTGATTACTAGGATTATCAACTTATACCATCCATGGTGATGATACAAATCTTTGATACGCATTAGAAACATTTGAATTTAAAAGTTACCCAAGAAGAAATTCCAGCTCAGATGTATATTACACAGGGTGCTGAACATTTAAGACTTGAATTATAGAAGTAATAGATTTTTTTTTAATTTATTTATGATATGTTTTTGTTAAGCAAATATTTACATTATTTATTAGCACCTTAGAAAAAATTAAACCTTTTTCTTAATGAGCCGGTTTGCCTTGGAAATGCTAGGACTTATGTCGAAGAAATGCCTGACCAAATAAAACATCCACTAATTATGTATGCATTTACATATACATAATTTTTCTTATAAATACGTGCTAACAAATCGCGGAAATTGATTTGATTATTTATGTTCCCAAAGTGAGATTTCAATTAATTAACTATAATACAATATTAAATTGACCTTTAGAAACCAAAATGTTGACCTTTTCGTATCCGTGTGCAAGTTTTAACTGGGTACATAAATTTCTTTTTTTTTTTAGGAAATACTTTTAAGAAATGGGTCGCAAGCTTTCGGGTGGTGGGCTAAACCTCCAGTAGTGCCAGTAATTAGGATATATATTTATAATGTAACAAATGCTGATGAATTTTTAAACAATGGTACCAAACCAATTTTGGACGAAATCGGCCCCTACACATACGTGTAAGTATAATTGTTTTTATTTTCCTGGAATGCGTGAATAATCCAACAAAAATGCACACGTCATTTAAGTAATGAGGCGTACCTCAGGGCAATGCAATGGGACCCTTTGTATGTACGCATTATTGCATGGTTTATTTGAATTTTACGCGGTGTACTTTAAAATACATAATTAGTCACTTCAATTAGAAATATAGGTAACGTAATACATATCTAATGAAGACTGACCCTAATGTAATAATGCCTTCTTTGGTACCTAATTCAAAACTGCATTTTTGTTTTTCTCTCTTTCTCTTGTTTTTGTTTCTCGCCTTTGTTTTTGTTTATTGTAACTTTATTTTGTTTTTATTTTTGTCTTAACTTCATTTATTTTTGTAATTTTTCTCTGTACTTTCATCTGTTTTCCGATGCTTTTTTTACTTTTCCCTTTGATAAACTTACAATTTACATATCGCCAAGCTCTCGATGGTTAATTTAATAGCCCAAATTATCTGCAATTGTATACATGTGTACATTGAGGTATTATGTAATTGAGGAAAGTCTCTTAGAGTTCCTTATGAATGTAAAGAGAAAGCAGTTTGTGTGTCAGTCAGGAAATGCGGTAGGTAGACATATATGAGTTTATGTGTGTACAAGCTCAGAAATAGCGAATTCGATTATGTTATTATTTTTAATATCATGCAGTATATAGTGAATATACTTATACACACAACGTTTTACTTGGCCTAAAAACGGCACCACGTTACGTAACACGTACCGTTTCAAATTTCTCGATTTATTGTAGCTATAATAATAATAATTGTTAGCGTTTTCGATTGGAAATTCATTTATATAATGAAAAATGGAGTTAATTTTGCTGGAAGATGGCAAAAAAGGATAAAATTTTACAAAAGCGCTTCTACCGTATAGTCCTGACATAATATGTAGGCACATGTATGGAATTGCACAACTGATTTGTAAAATTGGTTTATTGTTTATTTGCTTTTGTTTTTCAATTGTTGTTTTTCTTTTGTTCCAGGGTTTGTTGTAGCAGCGTCGGTGCTGTTTGTACTATTAGGGATAATAGTAGCCGTATTTTTTATGACCTGGGTCAAATTAGTTATAAATCACGTAAGTATCGGAAAATACCTTGACGATAACAAATAAAAAAACAGTAAATTATTTTTTATTAGATACTTCGTACTTATGCATAACTGAAGAAAAAGGAAAATTTAATATTGTAATTTTTAATGAACATGACTTTGCCTTGGGATATACGCCAGTACACACATTGTACTTGTATACAATTCACCCTGAAGAAGAGCGGAGGCCTCGCAAAGATACAAAACGTGTATCATTAATTACTGAGAATCTTGCTTGTTTGTTCGGTTGTTTAACGAATAATTACCAATTACAATTTTGTTTGTTGTAATTGCCGAGATCAAAAACAGAGTTTGATTTTTGCGTCGATTGTAAATTTCGTTTTTTTTTTAATTATTAATAATTAATGGTTTGCAAACAATGTGAACACATCTTGTTGACCTTACTCTTTAATATCAAACGAAGCAAGTTTTAAATT